CCCGCGTACCTGGAGTACGCCCCGCTTATGAGGTCAACCACCCCGATGGTGGTCAACATTCAACTACGCCCAACATACATTTGGGGTACACCCCGCGTACTCACTCTTTGGTGACTCAGCTGGGTTGACTCGGTTGGGTTGACTAATTTGATTTGACCAGTTTGACTTTGAATTTGACCAAGTTTGACCTAAGGGTATTTTAGGATTTTGATTGTGATTGGTCATTTGGTTGGATAGGTGAGGGTTAGAACTGAGATTCGGAGTCGAGGTCTCATCAACTTTTGTCCAGTTTGTGAGGTGAGCTTTCCTCACTGTACTTACAGGTTGAAGGCACCAAGGCTGACCCATTGGATTAGATATCCTGTTATGTGGTAGTATATTATCATGTCATAGTGATCTGTTAGATCGGTATCCTGGTAGATAGGATGATGCTATGCTTAGTTATATGTAGATTTGTCTGATTGTCTATTGACTGATTATAAGTTTATCTGTTATATGTGTACATATTTGGTTGGTAATTGAGGATTTACTGCTTTGTGCATGAGACAACAGACCGGGGGCATTCCAACCCGATGGTTGATTGGGCCCGAGGGTATTCCATCCCGAGGATGACTGGACCCATTGTATATTGGCATTCCAACCTGGGATATTCCATCCCGAGGATGACTGGACCCAAAGGTTGATTGGGTCTGGGGTATTCCAACCCGATGGTTAACTGGACCCATAGTATATTGGCATTCCAACCCGATGGCTGATTGGGCATGGGGTATTCCAAACTGATGGTTGATCGAACCTATAGTATATTGGCATTCCAACCCGATGGTTTATTGGACCTGGGGACATGGTGTTGTACATGTTACCTGTTTATGTGTCGATACTTTGGGGGAACTCACTAAGCTTTGGCTTACGGTTTTTAGTTGTGGTTTCAGGTACTTCGGATGATCGCGGGAAGGCAAAGGCGTGACCGTACACATCCTCTGCTTTATGTACTTTTAATCTATGGGATACTCTGATATGGAACAATACTTTGAAAAGAATTATTTTTTAAACATTCTATGATTTGGGGTTTCTTTAAAAAGTTTAAATTTCATGTGATTTTTATGGATGTTACACCTTAGAATCTGATAATGCAAAACCTTCACGCTGACACTCTCATCAGCACCAGTGTGAAGTTAATTCTACAATGTCGTGTTAACATGTAAACTATATAAATGTAATATCTTGCATATATGGATATATACGTAGTTAGTTAATAGATCCTATATCTTAGGGATATCAGATATACTCTATTATTATAGTAGATTAGGTGATATCCTTGTCTTGTAAGGATTCACAACATATTTTATTTTCTTTATATACTAGGGTTCTGATCATCGGTTGATCATTGAACCCTAGAGAGCTTTGTGCTTGTTCTCTTTGTGAGAACTTTTCTTAGTGAAAAAACTTTGTGATACATCTATGCGTTCTTTCAATCTTCTTATTTGTTATTCATTCTTGATCAAGGAAACATACACAGTGCCACATGAAAGTTAGGCAAATCTTGTATAATTCTCAATTCGTCCCAAATTTTAGATAATTTTGTGAAATATGTTGAGAAATCATCAGAATTTTTTGAGATAGAATAGAGTTGTTGATGAATTTGACAGATCAAAGCTCGGTCGGATTGAGCATATCTTTGATTCAGTTCCTTTCAAATATCATGAGTGGAATGCAAAAACAGTACACTGTCAATGATGTTCTTTTGTAGTGAATTGAGGATGCAGCTGATTACCATAGAGTTAACATGAAACCATATGGAATAGTACTCAGATGTTGCAGATGGTTGAGCAATTGTGCCATCAACAAAACCATATATATTCTTTGTAGTTATTGCTATCGTCGTTGAACGTTTCCAATCCATGAATCTGATGCCATTAAATACAATGGAAACAAGAATCGATCATCGATCCAGGATTATCCAAAGACCCAAGATAATAAGGATTTGAACAATCTTGATTATTAGAATTTCCAGAATTGGAAGATTGACCCTGTGACTGAGACATGATAAAAAATAGAGGAAGAAGAAACGAAAAAAATGATTGTATGAACAAATCGAATCAAGAGCTTAACAAATCGAATCGGGAACTTACACACTCTGATACCATGTTTGATTCAAAGGAATAAAGAGAGAGAGAGAGAGAGAGAGAGAGAGAGAGAAACATTTCTTGATTGATGAATTACTCAAAAGTTACAATACATAGAAATGAAATACAACTATATGTACAAGAACAACTAACTCTCAACTAATTCACAACAAGCAGGTTAACTGAATTAGGACACGTGGCAACTAACTAATTAAGTTAACAATAAGTTGTGTGTGTGTGTGTATACATATATATATATATATATATATATATATATATATATATATATATATATATATATCTTCAGAAAAGTCCCAGACTTTTAGGAAAAGTTACACTTTTGTCCCAACATTTTTTTGAACAAAAAAACCTAGGAAGCCAGATAAATTGAACATTTCGACACTCTTTTATCGGCGACCCTCATTTATCCGATTAAATTGTTTATGTGGCAAGGAGTTGCTGAGGTGGTTGGTGAGTCATTTAATTTCCTTGTATTAAATGTAAATATCATGGAAAACTTCATTCGTGCCCTAGCAGACGACGATTGAAGCAGGAGCAGTGGAGGACCAAGACGAATGTCTTCTTCGTCTTCTTCATCTTCGATGAATCGTCTCAGAAACAAGTGCTACTGTGGTGATCCAGTAGGAAGATGGACTTTATGGACTCCATTAAACCCATGAAGAAGGTTTATAAGATGCCCAAATTACCAGAATGAACTCAAAGATTGCAAGTACTTTTGTTGGGTGGATCCTCCTCTACCAAACCAGTGGTATGAAAATTTCCTATTAACATTTCACAACAATGTGAATTTGGAGAACGATGGAATATTTGGGGAGTTTAGGCAAGAATAACCAGCTGGGAACTTTTTTGTAGACGTTGTGGAATAACCAATGGCACAACAACCAGTTGCACAATAAGCACTGGAAGGAGGAAGATGGAAATCATTGCTTTATGTCTTTGTGGTTTCTTTTGTGTTTTTGTGGGTTATGTTGAAGGATTAGAAGGATAGAAAGTTGTTTTAATGTATTTTAGTTGTGTTTGTTTTGGTTGTGACTAAGGGTTGTTGGGTTACTACGAATGTAGTATTTTGTGTCTCGTCTGATTATGAATGAAGCAACTAGTTTATGTATGAACTATAAATGTGTTGATTGTAATCAATGAATGGAATCAATGGATGACTGCAATAAGTTAATAATGGACTTTATACACAAAGGACTCAATACATAATGATTCATTAAAGAAAAGGAATCAATACATAATGGAGTCAATCATGCATGACTGGAATCATTAAATAAAAGGAATCAATACATAATGGAGTCAATCATGCATGACTGGAATCATGCATAACTGGAATCATGCATGACTTAAATCATGTGTGACTGGAATCCATATAAGTAAACATTGTAAGCACAAGTAATGTATGCATGACTGGAATCCATATAAATAAGGAATCAATATAACCAAACATAAACAGTGTAAATTATAGAACATGAAGTAATATTAACCAAAGTCAAACAAGTTTTATGGCTAGCTATGTAAATGCCCAAAAACATGATCAAGGGGCCCAAAGCCTATAGTTTATGTTGCTATAAACAAAAGGGGCTGTCAATAGTAGAGGCTTATCAACAAAACGGGTTATCAACATTTGACCAAACCCAAAAGTTTTATACATGTTCTTAACAAAATTATGTATTAGAAATACCCTATTATAGACTAAGGGGGTTGGATGAACTCATCCCCCTTCCTTTCTTGACAGCTACCACCTTTTTCAACTTGCTCTCCATTATCCTTTATGAAGGCTTCCTCCTTCTGACTTGATTCACTTTGCTCCTCTTTTCAGGCCTCCTTCTAACTTGATTCAATTGTTGTGTGACAGGTATTTCTCCCTCACCATCCATCCTTTCACCATTCATCCTTTCATTAACCATCCCTTGCTCATCCATGCCCTCCTCATTCATCCCTTCATCACCCATCCCCTTCTCATCTATGTCATCCTCAATCATCATTACCTCACCCATCCCATGCTCATCTATTACATCCTCCTCATTCATCCTTTCCTCATCTCCAAGTGCTTGAGTTGTAGGGAGTTCTTCAACTATTATTTGGCTAGCAATTCCAAAATCCTGTAACAAGCATAACAAAAAGGCCAGTTAGCAAGATTTAATATCACAAAATGAACAATGAGAAAGAATACATGTGACATATCAACATCCATGTCTTCAAACTATTCTAGATCTGCTTCTCTCAATCCAAGACCTTCAAATTGTTGTAATTCTACTTCACTGATTCCAAGACCAGCCATGATCTCTTATGTAGTGTAATTTGATTTCCTTAGGTTGTAAGTTGATATCCTTATATGATTGTGAACATATGGACTCGCACCATTTTCATTCTCAACAATTGGAATGGCAACATTTTTAGGCTCATATTTAGGAAACTCAGATGTACCCTCACCATATTCTGTTTGGACTCCTTCACCAGATCCCCTACCACCACCTCTATTGCCTCTTCCACTTGATCCCCTACCACCTATATTTATCCCCCCACCACCCTTTCCACCACCTCTAGATCCTCTTTTATTTCCTCACCAGTTCAGCAAATCAGGTTCCAACCTAGGCCTACCCATTTTTTTTAGGTTGAGGTTCAGGAACCACTATAGGATTCTTGCATGATTTTTATTGTGTCCCCTTTGTAGACAATTTTTACACTGGACAGTTCTACCCTTTCTTAACACTTGAGAGTACTTATCTTGATTTTCTGAAACATGTCTTCTTATTTTAACAGTTGTTCGTCCTGGCATCCTCCTTTAATGGGTGGAAGGGGCTTGGTGTAACTTGTTTCTTCCCATAAGTTACTTCCATTAACTGGGAGTATGTTCTAATCATAAGTTGCCTTGTAAAGATTCTTGCTGAACCAACTACTTATGAAGTTAATTGGATCTTGATTGGTGTACAAAATTGCCACTTGTGCATACACACAACGTAACCCTGAAAACTCCCATAATCTACAAGCATAACATTTTTCCTTCAAGTCAACTCCATAGTTTTGAAACTCATTCCTTACTTCATATTCATTCACTCCACTTGGACATACATACCAACCTCTGTAAACACATAAGATAGAACATAAGATACAAATATAAACATGTAAAAACAAAACAATTGAAAATACTTACTTAATGTCTTCTTTAAATTCTTCCATCTTTGTTACCATTGAAGGACAAACTTCACCAACCCAGTTTTCAGCCTCTTGTTTCAGATTGTAAGCCCTTTCCATCATGTAAAGCCTAATATCTTCAAGCATAGTCAGTAGAGGTTTCTTTCTTACTTCTACAATTATTGCATTGAAACACTCAACAATGTCATTCTCTACAGCCTCACAAGCCAAGCCAGTAGAGAAATAAGCCATGCACCATGAAGTTGGTTCCCTTTCCATGAGATGATCTGTAGCTGCCCAAAACATGTTTCTGAGCTCCACTCCACTATAAACTTTTCTGAAATTGGCATAAATATGCCTAGCAGATTGCCTGTGCTCAACATAGCGTAGAATATCCTTACTAGCTTCAACAAGACCCTAGAGCATGAAAAAAAACTTAATTAGCAACAACACACACTATTGTAAATAAATTGCAAGTATTGAAAATAAAGAGATAGTTACTTTACCTTGTGTTGGTCACTGATTACACACACACACACCCCTTCCACCCTACAATCCAATATCATCATTAACCAAATCCAGGAACCATTTCCAATTGTTCTTGTTCCCTAAATCAACAACTAGCCAAGCTATATGATACAAATGATTGTTGGCATCCCTACCTATTGCAGTTAACAGCTCACCCTTACATTGTCCCTTCAAAAAAGAACCATCCAATCCTATTACCCTACGACATCCCTTTTTCCACCCTTCTCTTATTTCTTTAAAACAAATGTAGAATCAATGAAATGTTGTGGTATTATCAGGTTTTATAGTAACTGTAATCCTAACTGTGTTGTCTGGATTGGATCTCAGTAGCTCATGCCCACAATCCCAAACTCTTGCGTAGTGGTCACTTAATTTCCCATGAATTAATGACAGTGCCCTCATCCTTGATGTATAACACTTTGACCATGAAATTTTGAAATGAAATTTACTTTTTATAATTACCTGCATCTCCTTGCATTTTAAATTAGGTTTCCTAATCAACTCCTTCACAAATTTCCTAGCTAACCAGGTAGGATCCATAAGCCTTGAATTCTTAAAATTCCTAACACATTTATGAATGTCTATCATCTTTTTTACTTGGAATGACCTTTCAGTACTCATCCAAGAAGCCCTAACCATGAATGGGCACTTCTCATGATCACTTATTGCCACTAGTCTAACACTATCACATTTTTAAACAAATTTATAAACCCTTACTAACAGCATAGTTTGTTAAACACAATTTCAGTTCATGTGGGGATTCGTACCTTTCACCATGTGTTGTTATCATTTTGTTCCATTTCACCTTTGGATTGTGGGTGGAATACTCAAATTCCTCATCATTATCTTCCTCGTTACTACCTTCTAGATAATCTTCGTCTGATTCTTCTTTATTGATTCCAATTTGAGCATCGTTTCCAACATGAACATCATTTTCAGTTAGAGCATCATCTACTGCCTCGTCATCATCTTCTTCACATAGAATATTGAGTAATTCGTCTTTGCATCGGAAAACTTGTTTCTTTTTGAAGTACGCATCCAGCTCCACATGTATTGTATCAAAATCATGGATGTCCTCCATGATTTCAACTGCACGGGGGTAAAAACCCTATTTTACTGAGGGGGAGGGAGAATGTGAAATGAGAGAGGTAAGTTCTAGTATGTGTATGTGTGTGTATGAATGAGATCGAATGAACCTACTTAAGCAAATCCTGGCCACATAAGCAATTTTAACTAGCTAAATGAGGGTCGCTGGTAAAATAGGGCCGAAATGTTCAATTTAACCAGTTTCTTGGGTTTTTTTGTTCAAAAAAAAACGTTGGGACAAAAGTGTAACTTTTCCCAAAGTTTGGGACTTTTCTGAAGATTTTCCTATATGATACTATTAGAAGAAAAGAAAACAAAAACTTAACATAACGTTACACAATTGTGTATTTAGATATATGAAATAAATAGTTGGCAACTATGTTTATTATATAGTTTCATAGATAATACGAATTCGAATTACTTCAAAATTTATAGGATTTGTGTTAGTTATGATCGAGGAGAGAAGCTGAGAAGTTTTGCAACATGAGTTAATTTGATTACAAACAAAAAGAGATCTTGCTTGGCAAATGATTTTTTTTGAGAGTTTCTTTAGAGTTTTTGATGCTCATGTAATTGGAATGATTGACAAAGTAAAACCAATAAGAATACAATCAAAAATTGGATTCTTAATTAATAATCGAAAATTTTGTCCTACAAACAATGAAAACGAGATAACTATAAGGAAGAGAAGATAAACTTCATTCATCAACCCTAGGAGATCATAATTGATTAGGATAAAATCCCCAATCACTTATCTAAATCAAAACTCAAAATAAAAAGTTGTCGCAAATGAAAAAACGTGTTTTGAGGCCCTAAACGACCCCTAATGGACGAAAAACACCACATGTCATGGAAAAGCAATGAGTTCTCTTAATCAGCCCATTTTACATAATGTGTGCGAATTTCATCAAATTCTGAGTAGTTGGATCACTTCGGTAGATTTGTCGCTGATGTTATCATACTTCGATTCCTACTAGTGCTAACATCATCAATCCATGCATTATCACTTATACCACCTTCATTACCCCCACCACCCTTCTTGAAAGGGATTAGACCTCAAGTCTACTTCATCCTCATAATCCCAACGAAAGGTGACAAATCTGCAACATTGAACGTAGCAGACATATTATAATGACAAAATAACTCAATCTTGTATGCATTGTTGTTTAGTTTCTTCACAACACGAAAAGGATCATCGACTCTTGGCTAGAGCCCACTAAAATTCATGTTGGAAACCTATCATGCCTCGAATGTATCCATACAAGATCACCTTCACGATAACAACCCGCTTGCAATGTTTATTAGCACGAGCAACATACTATTTTTTATACTTCTCAATCTACATGAAAGCATGTTGGTAAATCTCTTTAATTTGACTTGATTTCTCACCTCCTTTAACACTAAATTGATCAAAAATAGTTAGAGGAGCTAATTCAATCGGGGTGATAGGGTTTCTAACATACAAAATCTCAAATGGACTCTTGCTCGTAATACGGTTAATCGAGTGATTATAAGCAAATTATGCTTTTGGAAGAGTAAGTTCCCACTGTTTTGGACCGTGACTAATCAAGTTTTGCAATAAATTTCCCAAACTACGATTTGAAACTTCAGTCTGAAATCAGTTTGTGGATGGTGATGAGAACCGTTGAACTGCAATTTTGACCCCAATTGTGTCCACAAAGTACGCTAAAAGTGGCTCACATACTTGACATCCCGATCAGAAGTAAGTGCATGCAACTTGACAATATCATATAATTATATATGTGCCACCTAACTTTCATCAAACATCATGCAACACAACATAAAATGAGCCATTTTTAAAATCGGTCAACCACCACCGTGACTGCACCCTTTGGTCACTACGTGTGATGCAATCCTAGGACAAAATCCAAACTCACATCTTCCCACGGAGCAATAGGGACAAGACGATGAGTTTTGGCCAAATGACAAATCTGACACCTTACCATTATCCTAGTAACATCCTTCTACATACGAGGCCAATAAAACTTGGCACAGATTAATGTCAAGGTCTCATCACCTCTAAAATTTCAAACGAGTCCACCAACACGACTTTGGAGTATAATGGAATCCCGTAATGAGATCATGGGAATACAAAGGCGATCCCTTTTAAAAATGTACACATCGATGGTAAAGAACTCCTTGTAGGTTCCTAAACCACAATTTCTCTATATGTCACAAAATCAGGATCTTCGTAGTACAAACTATGAAATACCTTGAATCCTTGCATGCACATCTGCATGGATGTAACTTGTAAATGATGTCGACCAAGGTATCGACAATCTGATTTTGTGACCTAGATTTATGCTTGATCATGAACGAAAAGGCTTGCAAATATTCGACCCACTTAACATGTCTTGCACTCAACTTTTCTTGTCTATTAATATACTTCAACGACTAATGATCATAAAACAATACAAACTCATTTGGTAGAAAATAATGACGCCAGGTATCCAAACTCCGAACAATAGCATAAAATTCTTTATCATATGTAGAATACTTCCTCCTTGAATTGTTCCGTTTCTCATTAAAGAATGCTATTGGCTATTGATTTTGACTAAGAACTCCACCAATTCCCACACGAGATGCATCACACTCAACCTTAAAAATGTCACTAAAATTTGGTAGTGCTAAACAGGAGCTTGGGTTATCGTGGTCTTCGAAACATAAAACAATTTTTCAGCTTTGGGAGTCCACACGAACCGACCATCCTCGGTGACAATTGAAATAATGCTACTAAAGTTTTGAATAAAATAACAGTAGAAATATGCTAGACCATGCAATCTTCGAATGTCATGCAAAGTCTTCAAATCAATTAAGGATAACCTCACTCTTTGACTCGTCCATCTTGATTCATTCTCTCGAAATGACATAACCCAAGAATGTAACTTTGTGAACCAGAAAATGACATTTCTTACCATTGGCATATAACTTCTGCTCATGCAAAACTGAGAAAAATTGTTGAATATGAGAGAGATGCTCTTTAACAGTTTTACTAAAAATCAAAATATCATCAAAGTAAAATACTAAAAATCGCATAGTAAATGACTTAAAAATCTGGTTCATCAGGCACATAAATGTGCTTGGGGCATTAGATTATCCAAATGGCATAACCATCCACTTGTATAACCCACCACGAGTCTTGAAAGCCATCTTCCACTCATCGCCCGACAATGAGCTATTCTAAATACTAGAATACAATACGAAGTATATACTAACATATGTGAGCTTATTTTTCTGTGCCTATCTCTATTATCCAGAAACTTTTAGTGGTCATTGACAAATTTAAATCAATGATAATTAATTTAAACTTTTAAAGTATAATACAATAACAATGACTTATCTAAATTTGACAGATAAGTTTTGATTAAACAACAATTCATCTTCCGTTTATAGTTAACTTGTTAATTCCACTAATATATGAAGATAATAGTACCTTAATGTAAGAAACAAATATTTGTGTTGCAAACACTAATACATTAAATCTTATATGTTTTCATGAGCTAGTACTCAAGATGCTTCAAGTTTCATAATAACTGAAAGGGTTTTTTGAGTTATAGCAAGTAATATCAAGTTTTAATTAAACAATTAAATACATTAAGTGAAAAAACTTTTTGAGTTTTAGTAATTGAAAGATAAGTTGAAGTTTGAGTAGTTAAAAACTTTTGAATGATTTTGATTAATTGGTAAAAAGATGAAAGGTTGTGGATATTTCAAATAGATTCATTTGAATGACCTTTATCATAATATTTATAAAGATTATGTTATTGTTTCCATAAATAATATTTGTGATAATTGTTCATAATAAAGTTGGGCAAATGGATAAATGGATCTTATTAACCGATGATAATAAATGGAACATATTTATGATAGGGCGACCAAAGGACTTCTAGCCCAGCGGTATTAGGTGTTGTCCTCTCTTTTTGAGGTCGATGGTTCAAATCTCATGGTGGACAAAAGTGATTTAAGGAGTAGTTAAGAAGTATATTAGATTTGTTGTTCAAAAAAAATTATAATAGGGCTAGCTCATTTATTATAAAGACGAATGTCTTATTTATAATCTAATCAAATCAATATCTTTTGTTTCTTTTAAAAACAAATAACACATTATTATACTTATAAATCTAACTCATTTTTTAGTAATATTTGAACCCACAACCTTTAACCAATTGACAACTTTCTATTAATTCATAATACTAATAGGCTAGACCTCAACCTTTAACCAATTGAGAACTTTCTATTAATTCATAATACTAATAGGCTAGAAGCCTTTTAATATAGTATGTCTCTTAAATGTCTGTAGCATGATCTTTTTTAAATAATATTTATTACAACAAATATGTTTTTTTTTTTTTTGCTAAAACTAGTGATAGTGATAGGATAGATAAATATGTCTCTTAAATGTTTGTAGCGTCATATTTTTTAAATAATATTTATTACATCAAAGATGTTTTTTTTCTAAAAGTAGTGATAGTGATAAGATAGATAAGTAATTTACAGATTAAATAGTCACTCTTCATTTCTTTTATCTTTTTAAATTTTTCAATAAATATATTTTATATGAAAGTTTCAATTATATATATACTCAATATAACATTTTTATACTTCAATTATAAATAATTACACGCCAACTTGCCTGATAATGACATGAGCATGTATCTTAAGAGTTGATTTAGCATCAAGCTCAAACGACAAAAAGAATGTATGAAAAGACCTTAAAAAAATGATTAAGTTTATTTTATAATTTGAATTTTAAGAAAACCTTAGAAAAACTCAATCTATTATTCTCCAATGTCCTTAAAAACCAGTATGTTATTATTTTATATAATAAACCATTTTATTTTTTAATCATGCCTAAGATAATGTTTCGTAACGAGTAAACTGTTAACAGTCGATTAAATAGCATTTGTAGCTTTATAAAAATTAACCAAATTATCCTCCAATGCACAGAAAAACCATTATGTTATTTTTTGTACA